AGGAGAGCTATCCCTTGGCTGCGTTCAGGGATGTGTTCGGGCGCAAGAAGTGACTACATTAAAACAATGAAGGGATAATTTACAGCAAGCCCAAGGAAAGGGGCTGTTGGTGAAATTCGTCAAGGAGATGAGATAACGACTTTTTTATTTCAATTACAATCCGCTAACCCAACTCGACATATACTTGAACTAGATTGAATGTTGAAGCCCAAAATGAAAACAGATGTCGTTGTCAAACTAGCTCATAACTGAGTTTGAACTCCAGTCGTTTCAGTTCAATAACCAACAAAAATAGAAAAAAAACATGGCGAGTATAGAATGGAACCGAAAAACTGACCCTTTTGAAATGATTCCACTGTCCACGTACGTGGGGCATGTCACGATCGAACAGGAAGACATAATTCCTAAAAAAAAGTAACCGATAATAACGAAACAAGAAACCTTCTCAACTATTACACTTCGTCACAGTTATTACGAAAAAGTAAAGTATAAACCTAATCCAATTATCCTTAAGTCCGATCTGGGCAAGTCGTTTTTCATGGGCGGCCAGTTCAGGAAATTCTCGATAGTTGTTATAGATCGAGTAATGTGGGATCTTGAAAGGTTCGTGATGACCGTGACCCATCTGAAAAAAAACGATGTCAGCAAAATCTTACGTGTCGATAAATACCACTTCGGCACAAAACGAGGACAACGAAACGACATAATAGTGCAATGCATAATAGGACGGAATTTCAAGTAAAAACAACGAACAACGAAAAGTAAGAAGAAGAAGTTGAGAGAGATGTTACAACGCTTTTGTTCCAGCAGAAGTAACGCATTGTAAGACGAGGAAATGTTCACGCAAACCAAACCACTAAGTAGCCCTATTACTGGAAGGTGTTAGCCAAGATCATGATACAGAAAATGTATCTCCCAGATAGTTTCGCAAAGGTAAAGCCTACTATAAAGCTTTAAAGGCAGACCTTCACCCAGATAATGAAAGAAATCACAAATGACATGTGGATAACACAATCGTAGTCGCCAACTCAGTGTTTCTGCGCGCATCACGGAAGGCACAGCTCAATCGACGCCACATATACAAAATCCGTGTTTACGACTCCTCAGGGAGCTACCGTACACCAAATAAATATCGTATATTTATTTACATATCTATACGACAATATGCATCCAGAGCTTCTGGTGTTGAAATGGCAGGTTGTGACGCATCATAGTCCCTAATCTGGACCACACGCATATCTGATCCTTAACCTCCTTCTTAGTTTGACTAACTATGTGTTGTTCCGGGTTAGAGACTAACCCTTAATATCCCGAGTCTGATAACAAACTCTAGAAGGGACAGTGAAGTTTGTAAACTAGGTGCTTCTGATGAGAGTAGGCCAGGTGTATGCTCGCAGCCTCCACTATTCTGCAGGTAAGCCAAACTCGTGAGCATCGCTGCTGTGATATGAGCCTAACTTCTTCGGTTCCCTATGGTACTTCCGTCATACAGCTATAGACTCGAGTCGGAAAAAGTTCGAGCCTTTCAAAAACTTCACATTTTCGACAGCGAAGTACCGTCAATTTCCAACTTTGGTAGGCGACTAATAATTAGTTTCCTCCATGTACGGACCTCTGCTTCTCAGGTTCCGTTCAGATTTTACGATCCAAGGGCAAAAATTTGAGTCTAAGATTCAGGATAGGTTCTGCAGAGGCGAAGAAAATGGGATGTATTTTAGGTTTATTTCGATCATCTAAGTGTTGAAAACTGAGGCAGTTTATTGTCCGATCCTTCGTATACCCAAGGGAATTGCCTTACTATTCATTCCCAAACGGCTTTTGCAGCCTTTGGATAAATTGGAAATCTATGCCACAAAGGTCACTGTTGATGAACCTTCATTCTGGAGTGCGCCAGGCAAGTAAGACCCATTCAATCTCGTCGCTTGTGCGAGCGATAGTTGTGCCACAAACCGTCTCCGTCCCATCTCCGTTCCCGCTGACTCTCTCAAAACTTTGAATTTGCTTAGAACGACATTCTTAGAAAGGCATAGACTACGCTTTTTTGAATTCTTTTCATCTCTTTCTCCTTCCTCTCTGTATGTATAATTCCTGGTAGCTGCTACTTCGCCGCAAACGACTTCTACTTTAATTCTTTGCCACGGTATATCAATGGAATGAAGTCTTTGAAAACGTATGCTAGTACTGGTTACCCAGACCTTACGTAAAGGGGTGAAGCTCGATTCCTCTTTGGTGAAAATTGCGCTGCATACATATAACGATCAGGTTGGGATGGGTTGATTTCATAGGAATACGCCATACACTCGATCAGCTTCACATCCTGGACCAAAATGATCCCTTATTAGCTTCTTGACAATCACAAGAATGGAAAGGCGGCCAGACAGGAGAAAACTCTTAAACTCTTATCATGATAAGTTTGTTGAAAGTGGATCAATTCCAGGATGTGATGAAATGAAGTCCCAAGTGTGATCGTTTTTCCTTTCCGCCCTACCGATTTTTCCCCTCCTCCCGCTACCCTCCTCTGGGTCCGGTAGAAAACAATAAAAAGTCAAAAAAAGCACACACACAACTTGACACGGTCTTGGTCGTGATGCGGTATTTAAAAAGCTGTTTGGTAACAAGAAATAGTCCTGGTTGTTTATGTGACTGCTATTAAAAGATTTGACCTGCATAGAAAGCTTGCCAAAAGTTTTTCAGGAGCATGAACCATGAAATCTGTTGGTGTTGGATTTGAATTGAAGAGAATCGGTATTCACTCACGTCCCCAACTCTTCCAACGACTTGCTTACGGAATTCATTATGTTCACTCTTTTCCGGAATCCCTCTAAAATCATTGCTCTTTTACATGATTTCGACGAAAATATAACACATTAGCCTGACTTGAGCGTTATGAAGCTGGTTAGCAGTTATTTGATAGGCCAGGGAAAGAGAGAACTAAAGTCATAACTCTCGATAACACTGGGAACGTTTTAGCAAAAACCGAGATGTAAAAGATTGGGTTTTGCGACTGAGTCTATCTGACAGCTGCCCAGACGATCTTGTTCTCAAAACCCATGCAAGGGAGCAATGAGTGAATTTTGTTCCTAGACCGAGGAACCAGTAATGTTGAGCGGCTTGCCGCAGGCGATGTCTATGGAGTTCATTGGGTAAAAAGCTCCATGACAAACAAGCGGAAAGGTGATTCGGGCGTTGGGCGAGGTAAAAGTTTCAGCTTTCCAAGATGAACAGTGCTACAGCTACTACCCTTTCCAGAGCGAAAGATCTACATAGTAGGCTTGCCTGAGAAAACAATGATTTGACCTACTGACTCCTAAAAGGCCTAAAATTGCTAGTTCTTATGAGCATTTTTGTTCATATTACAATTCTTGGAGCCTTAGCTTGGTTATTTGGGTATATTTCTGAAATCGGAGCCAGGAGTCGCCGTTTTAAAAATAGGTCACCGGGCGCGTGGTGACCATGATGGCAATAAATTTTGTAAAGGTAATGTGACACTATGTAATGTTGTATGGCAGCTCGCAGTTCAAGATCGCCTTGAGGCCTTGAAACTGAACAAAGTGTCAGGACGAAGAAAGTCATAACACTTGACCTTCAACGCTTTACAAGAAGCCGCTAGTAGTTGCTTGTCTGGGCTTTCTCAACGAGACAATATTGAAGATGTTGACTGACGCCGGCTCTTTTTTGAGATAATTGGGATACAGTTATGGAAAAGCAGTCAACCACAATCACATACTTCGAAGGAAACCTCACTAACCTTAATCGAACAGCCGAACTCCATCCTTGTGAAACGGTGCAGACAAGCGGAAAATTTGCCGATAACCTGATTGACTAGGAGCATTTAAGAAGGCACCCATTTAGGCACCATCCCTAAAGCGTATCCCATCCTCTGATGTCCTCTTTTCACAATTTGTTAGGTTCCATTCCTTTTTAAACTCTTCTCAAAGCCCATGGAGGGGAGTCATTCGCAATCCATGCCTGTCCAAGCCTTTCATCAAGTAGGCTTGAACATGCTGTCCACCGCTCCAAGAAAAGGTCCACGGTGGAAATTACACCAAATCCACGGGATGATTTCAGCCCTGCCAGAGTTTCCCCTTTTGTGGTAGCTGGACCATTTGAGTGATCAACTCAGTTTTTGATACTTACTGGACGTACCATTCGAGTCCTTACAAATTTGAAGTTTAAAAAATGCTGTAAAAATTTCCCGGGTCCATTGTGACAGATGTGGACCAGATTGTAAAAAGAAAACAGCCTATCAATGCGAGAGTTAGGAGGGTCGTTGAGACCAGCTCGGCCAGATGCGGACCCTAGCGGCAGTTTCTGGTTTCTGCGCCCACGCCAAACATACCACGACCACGTTTCTTTGCATGTCCTACACCTGCGTGGACAGCTCGCAACGTTCAGCAGCTTTTCAGTCAAATCACTCAGAAAAAACATTGCTTTCGCGAACTTTTATATTTTTTATTTCTAATTTTCTGAATTGTTGAGTTCGCATTCCCAGGTATTTCCTCAGTTCGATTCATTTCGATCTTTTCATCATACTGTATGAACTAAACCACCTAACTAAAGTGGCCGTGAACCTTATAGCCAGTTTTCCCGCTGAAGGGTAAAGGACAAGTAGGTGGTGTTTTGGGATGCGCCCTGCATCTGTTTTACCTGCAAAGCCTGCGAGGATTTGATTGCATATGTGGCATTCAATGACTTGCAAGGGCAAACCGAATCACACATTAGTGCTTTTTCCTCAAAGTATAGTTCAGTACAAATAGCAGACCCTGGATGGATGTAAGGACCGAAGCGGTTTTGGTAAAGCTTGAGCTGCTGTTGATCCCCTGGGCATACAGATAAAGACCATGTTCATCACCCTACATCCCCTCATTTCAAAAAAGCTTTTTTGACCAAGTGAAGGGAATATGACGCTTCAAAAATGCTGATAAATGAGCTCCATTGGCGATTGTAAGTAATTTTCCCCCAAAGTTAATTTCATTATAATTGAAAGGGAAGAGCATGGGTGTGGTGAGGAATCGAAAATTAGGCGGCGGAAACATGTATTTTTGTAATGAGAGAATCATGCACCGTCCCGAGATCGATGTGACAAGCCCTCGATCATTAATTTCCGCCAGAGCGTAAAAACATCGAGGAAACACGCCTCTGAAAAGTTGAAGCGATATAAAAGCACTGTCGAATAGTGCGGATTACTATTGTAAAAGCAGAACCACCACCCAGGTCAATTTCAGTGACTTATGCCGCCAAGTAGGGGAAGGCAAGTACTTAATCAGGAAGCTAATTTTGACAATCTTCATCGAAAGCCAAACATCCCCATTAGTGAGTTGAAAGAGACAAGGCTGGGCATCAAATGTCAACGAAGTCTAAGAAAATACAACGTTGAGCGTCAGACTATTCAATCCTTTCTACGATTCTCTATGGAGTTCGAAGATATGGCGCAAACCTCACGGATTAGCAGTAACGGTTCCGCCCTTACATTTTTTTGCAATCTTGATTTTCTTTACGCGATTGATTTCATTCTTGATTGCACCAGCAACACCTGGGAAAGGGGACATGGCCCTCGTTCGGCCAAATCCTTTCCACCCCTAACACCCGAGTTTTTGGGGAACTCCGTCCGTAGTGCGTGAGTGT